TGACTCATCTCATGCCTGGGAACAGTGCATGCTTTCAGGGTAGGGAGTAGAAAGTTTTCATACTGTTAAACCCAAATCTATGGTAATCTTGGCCCCAAGCTACATTATGCCATGATTAACTAAGAATGAAACATTCTTAGATTACGGCTTAAAGTCTAATGTTTCCAAAAGGSTCRGATGCTCATGCTACTCATCTTGGTAATAGGTGCAGCACTTTTACCTCTGTTTGAAGTCAGCATAGAGGACTCTGCTGGGGAATCCCTTCCGGCAAATTCGGATCCCTTCCAGCACGCCATTGCACCGCAGCTGGTGCAGCACCAGCTCATGCTCCATGGCACCTAACAAACACCACCATTAATGATTTTAACATCACTRCTGGGCAATCTGCTGAAGAGCTCCCGTGGCTCAAGTTTTGCTCCTGCTTTATCTCCTTACCAGGGGTTTTTGTTTCATTTGGGATGATGCAGCGTACAAAATGGGGATGAGTGCTTCTCAGGTTGGCCATCAGCTTGTTTAGATTTTCCTGAGAGGTCATAAAGTAGAGTTTAAGAAGTCATTAATTGTAAGCACTACRTTCTTACTAACCAATATGTCAAACCGAGTGTCTCATACTGATAACTTATTGCTTATAACCTTAAAGTATTTTTTTTTCTTGAATCTTGGATTATGAATTCTACCATCTTGCGAAATCAAAAGTTTTTGAAAAGACTTTTTACAAATGGTAAAGAGTTTACTCTGCATTTTCAAAGACACTTCTCAAAGCCAGTGAACTCTGTGCTTACCCGGAAAAGAGCTGAGACGGTCTGGAAAGAAGAACCCTTCTTCTTACCACCCTTCTTGCCTCCACCACCAGCATCTGCAAAAGTGAAGGTAAAGAACACATGTTTTTAATGTTACCTTGGAGATCCCCCATTTCTATTATGAACAGATGCTCCACGTGGATTTTAAAGAGCTTACCTGCTTCCCCACCATAGGCAGAAAAGAGTAGGGCCAGTGTCTTCACAGATGATTTCTGGTAGAGCCCAATGACAGTTTCRTTCARGGGGTCCTTGTTCTTCTCAAGCCAGCCAGAGATGTTGTAGTCCACTGTGCCAGCGTAGTGCACCAGGGAAAAGTGGGCCTCAGCCTTGCCTTTGGCAGGCTTGGGCTTCTGGAAGTTGTTGGACTTGCCCAGGTGCTGGTCATAGAGYTTGTTCTTGAAAGAGGTGTCAGTTGCCTTGGGGAACATGCACTCCTCTTCCAGGATGGAGAAGATGCCCATGGGCTGGAAGACATCATAAGAAAAGCCAAAGAAAGATTACGATGCTGCGAGACTTAGGCCATGAACCTAAGTATAGGTCTTAGGCCTGCGTCTGTCAGGGCTTGTTCTTGGTCAGTAAACTTATTTCTGCCTCCCCTTCCCTTCACATCCAGGAGCCTGTCTTCAYGGAWTCGGTAAGAGTATTGGTGCAGCTCTAGTTAGAAAGGGCAGTACGGTCAGTAGGCGCGTTTAGAAAAATAAGTGGATGAACAGCTGCAGGAGATGCCCTGTTTTGKGAATTTAGTCTAGACGGTATTTATTTTTCAAATTTRTCTTTGAGGAAAAGAGAAAGGAGAACAACTGTAGTCTATCAAAGAATTCTGTTACTGGGAGGATCTTTTCCATGCTTGAAGACAGGGCAAGAGGGGACTGATGACACARTTTTGCGCTTGTCCTTCTTTCCTTACCTCAAGATAAAATAAATTTCAAGACAAGAGATTAGGTTTAGCCTGGTACTGAATGTCTGGGTGTGAGTGTGAAGGATTTTCTGTCAGCTGAATCTGGCCTAGAAACATCACAAAATCATAGACATGGATGGAATAGGTACCTTCTCAATGAGTTCAATGCAGGCAGCCAGGTCCATCCCAAAGTCAATGAACTCCCATTCAATGCCTTCCTTCTTGTACTCCTCTTGCTCCAGCACAAACATGTGGTGGTTGAAGAACTGTTGCAGTTTCTCATTGGTGAAGTTGATGCAGAGCTGCTC